ATTATTAACTAATAAGTGTATGGTTTGTTTAATGTTTAGCTAGACTTAAGTTAAAAGAACTAGTATTCGAACTTGTATAGAGCTATAAAAATGTAGGTATTTGTAATGTAGTAAACTCTGTTTGGTTATGATTTGAGAACTTATTGTTCATTATTTTTACCCAGCATTTGTTGTTGATCAACATTAGATCCTCAACTTTGTCATTGTTTCTAAGATAATTGTTTGTCTATATTAACACGTCTCCTTTCTTTATAAGAACGTCCTATGTGCTTGTTAAATACAATACATCTTAATTATATTCACGTCAAAAAAAAATTATTTAATTTAGTTTTAGAAACTTGTCAATAAGTCAAACAATTTGTTAGTAAACAGATATCGTGTCCGTCAACGACTCTGACCCCAGGAGCGGCACAAAGAAAGAAGAGATTAGAAAATGCAAGCTTTATTACAATCTCAGTCTAAATAACATTTGTGATTAAATAATTTAACACTAAAACATCAAACAAGCTCTATGATTCACGTCTTCTTTCGAACGTAAAGTAGAGCGATCACATTGCGTTAGCGAATACTGATAGGTTAGATAGTGTTGGGGGTTGGGGCGGTGCGGGAGTTAGGACGGGCGTGGGGCTGGGGGCGGGAGCCGGAGCGCTACACGCGGTACGAGTAGTGGCGGTAGGTGGTGCCGTAGGGCAGGCGGCCGCTGCTGGTAGAGGAGTAGGAGTAGCCGCTAGGGCCGCCCAGGCTGCTGGAGCGCTCGCTGGTGTAGCTGTATCCGCCGGGGCCGCTGCCCGCGCGACGCTCCACGCTGCTGCTGTACGAGCTGCGCTGCGGCAGGCCACTGCCCGTCGACCGCTCGCTGGTGCTCGAATACGAGTATGAGTACTGCTCCTCGGCGCGGCGCGGCAGCGGCTCGCGGTCCGCCACCACGTAGTGCCGCGGCGTCTGCAACAACCGCGCCCTTAGCCACGCCCTCGCACCCACCCCGCCCGGCCTAGCGACTGACTAATAGCGAAAGCGACACACGACACCCCGCGACCCCTCAGTAGCTCGCGTAGTTGCTGTAGTATACATGGCGGCGCGCCGCGTGCAGCGGCCTGCCGTGTGCGTGAGCTAGCAGCACGTCCATGTGGTCACGCGGCGTGCCCAGCGGGTCCGCCTCGAAGGCGCGCTCGCGGTGCCCCACCGCTGCCAGCACGCGTTCGCGGGTCTGCTCGCGTGGGGACACGTAAGGCGCGAGCGGGGCCAGCTTCGACTCCGGCTTCGGTGGGATGTTCTGCCGCGTAACCGGGTCGAGCACCGAGGAGCGCGCGCCTGCCCGCCCGCGCCGGCCGAACGCCGTCACCGGGTCGGGCACCAGGCTCGGTCGCGGCACGAACGGCACCTTCTCCCAGTCGCCGGCCGACTGCCGCTGCAAGCGGAGAACTCGCCGTTAGTCGCGCGGCCGTCGCCTCCAGCCGTGCCTATATTTGGCGCGCTCGCCGACTTCGCTTTCGCGTTTCATTTTCTCGATTCGATCTGACCCACTTCCCTGCAATCCTACCGAGCCCTACACCGAGCGCCCTAACAAGCGATGTTTACAAGCTCGCGGCGCGCGTCGTGTGCGCTTTATGAGATCCGATGTCGACACCGGGGCAGCTAGGCCGTGACGGGGGTGAGTTGGGACATGCGAGAGAGTCGGTGCGAGGGGCGTCCGGCTCCCGGGAGAGTGTGGAGCGGGTGCACGCTCGGCGGGGAAGAATGCGGACTTACCGTGACGCTGTAGCTGCTGGGCCGGTAGGGGCGGCGCGTCGTATAGAAGTCGCTCTCGTACACCATGGCTGCTGCTGCTGTTGCTGGGATCGTTCGTGTGAAGCTCGCGGCGATCGTACCTCGACTGGCGGCGCGCGCTGCCCAGAACGCGATGGGCGCGGGCGGCGCGACGCCGGCGACCTTATTTTTAGATCACTGTCATTGCAATTTTCGCGTCACGCCGGCTCCGCTTTTACTCAGAATTTCTAATACGCCTCGCTGTGACGTCACAATTGGGTTAAGGATAAGGAATATTACAGAAGAATAAGCGTGTAGGATTGAAGTAACTGACGTAATCGGTTCATGAAAAACAGCAACCCTTGCGTCGCATGACGCACCGTTCGTCCGAGCGGAAACATCGTAGGCGTAGAGCCGACTGCCATACAAAAATACAGCAATGATGATTGCGTTGGCATAATGCGTATATAAACATGTAATATGCAACAATAACACACAATTTATACGCTTAATTGAAACAACGTTGAAGAAAGATTGAGCTACTGCACATACATTCACTAGATAAGCAAGGATAGATGATGAGAGGAAAGAAGTCGTATGTGAAGTATTATATATGTAAGACCACCTCCTAACAGATCGTAAAAGACGGGAATAGTAGTGCGGCGAAGTCTTTGCGTTGTGGAATACATTGAGGTGTTTGACAAGAGTTAGTCAACAAAACCACTGACAACTAAACTAGCTTCGATCGACTTTAATGTTGATTCGTTAGGATTCAAAGAAGTTCCAGAAAACATATCTTTATTGTTGACAATTGTAGCACCTCGCCCCTTAGGCAGTTTTAGTTCATTACTTTATCTTCTTAGAATATTTAAGGCGTACGAAACCTCGCTTGATTTTTTAGGATGTTGGTGCGTTTCTAACTATAATTCAATTGAGATAATCCTTCGTAATATTCACCTAATCATCTAACTAGAACGTAGAAATTTTGTTTATATTGCCTGGAGTTTAGTTTTTTGGATCACTGCCAAATATTGTAATCGTTACTACTGCTTTTATGACCTTTTACAAGGTTTGTATAGAAAAAGTAGGAGTGTCAGCGTTAAATTTACTGATTACTAATCTGGGAATAAAGGACCTGGATTTGGGCTTAAACAGATTACTTCTATTTGTAGAAGTACTGCAGCTTAAAGGGCCAGTGAGCCTAACACGAATATTTGCGAGAAGCGCTTTGGTTCGCCAATGTTGTCAAAATAAGTATGAGATTTTTAGTGTACTTTACGCCCGATAGGTGGCTGTACAAACTAATACTTTGCTAGCTCGTCACAAATTCTTGCTAGGTCCACTGTAGACACAAAATCAAACATTATCACCATCTTACCTAAAATTTTTTTCTGCTTACCAAGTATTTCGCTACCTTGGCATTCCTAAATCTTACAAATATTATAAATGCGAATGATTAAATGGAAAGATGGATGTTTGTTGGTAGGTACCTTCAAAACGGTTGTATGGATCTCGCTGAAATTTATCATAGATGTAGATCATAGCCTGGAAGGACACATAGGATACTTGTTTTTTTTTTTAATTCAATGTTGCTATGAAATGATTTTTAATTTTATTGTGTTTGAAGACAATCACGGACGAATATTTTATACGTATGCTTAACGCAAAATATAATAAATTTATTTATGGCGTGAGATGACAGTAAAGGGCAATGAAATAAGAAAATCATAAGGTGTATAATAGAACTGTTTATATGAGAACTTACCACTGTTAATATATACTTAGCGTCGGTGCCTCCATGTACCAATATGTACATTTATCCGATGTATTACGGCGAAGGAAACATCGTAATGTAACCTGGGCATGCACAAGAAATTCAATGATATGTCTGAAGTCTACCCACAGTGGGCCAGCGTTGTTAACTATGGCCTAGTCACCCCTAACTTACGGTAGGGTCGGAGTCCCTCGGTGGGGACGTGAGCTGATGATAATGATTTGGTAATCCCCCTAAATACAGTGCTCTTTTATGATAGGTACGGACAATAATTGTGAAGAAAATGCGCCAATTCCTTACGTCTTCAACCTTTTGTCAGCTTTGCTGTGGGTTTTTATTGGTGTGACACAAAATTAGTCTCTGTTCTGTTACCTCCTCTGATACCGTAAATGTTTTGGGAGTAGAAACCACGTTTTTTTTTAACTTTACTTCCTTATACCATTCAGGGTCATATTCGTATCGAACGCCGGAGTACAAGAACAAGTCAGGCGCCCTCCAGGTTCTGGCGCCTTTATGTCCTAGAGATGTAAACCCGAGTTTTGGGATGGAGGTTGATGTTGCCCAGATCTACTTAAAGTTCACTTTCAAATATCATTTGACTCTGGTGACAGAGTTTTGCTATGCTGGGATTCACAATTTTAGAAAGGCGACAATCAAAACTTTTCTTATTTCAACTTATACTATTTATTTTTCCTTTTACAAAATGACGTTCAGAATTTACAATAATTTCTCATACGATCGTTATATACCGCAGATCGAGCACGGGAGGCACCGAAATGCCCGCGTTCAATTTTGGACCCAGAAAGAAACGCGATTCCGATGTATCATAATAATATGTAGTATAATAATAATATATATCGACGGCAAATCAAACACCCGGCGTCCCAGACCCACTGCTTTATTGACACACCAGTGTTACCATACAATAAATCATAACAATTCAGGTCAAACAAAACAACATGTGCCGAACTCAATAATCGTAAATAGGGCAACCGGCTGGCGCGTCCAGCGGTCGGGGCCGCGAGCCGCCGCTCAGTCACTGCGGGCGCAATAAATATAACGTATGTACACGACGCCCCCCCCCCCCCCCCCCCCCCCCCC